GGTCGAGTTCACATCTTGTTTAGACGTTATAAGAGAAAGTATATTTTACCTTCCAAAAGTGAACCATATGCTTATCCAAAAATCGAAGATAAATTGATAAATATTTTCGACTCGGGCAGGACTTGTACCGGCATCGTAAGCATTGCGTGCTGTTGATTTTTCCGTGCCGTGATTTTGTATAGTGCCATCAAGTGCAATAACATGTGAAAAATATTAAAGTTTTCAAACATACGCTTATCCGTTCTCCAGTGTTATAAAAAGTATTGTTTCTTTAAGTATACATTCAACTTGACAATAAAAGCAGCGGCGGCGAGTCTCTTGCCAGTTCTTCTCGTTCGTTCTACGCCCTTAATTTGAGAAATGAGAGTAACTGCAAATTTAGAGTTTAGAATTTTTAACTGTTTTGACGTTCGTAAGTATACCAAAAAACATAATTTATCATGAATAAATGATTTTTTTTTATTTGATTTTATATAGAACTACATAAATTATGAAGTGCTGTATATCTCCAAACAGGTTACTTTTGTACAATAAAACCAAGATCAAATCAAAAGTTATCCATAATACAACGCACGTATTTCATATAATTGTTTTGTTCAGGTTTACGACGTCCGTAAAATCTTTGAATAAAATAAACTTCAAATCGATTTCAATTACAAAGAAAGTCTCCACTCTCCAGTTTTCATCTTCGAATCTCGTTGGCTCTGGGCCAAAGATTTTGTCTGAACATGTGTGAGTTTTTGGACGTCAGTAATGACTAGAATGGTTGTTGAATAGAATATCTTAACTTATGCTACGAACTTGCTAGGATACCTTATTTTCTTTTATGACACACAACTTAATATACGATAACTTAATTGGTTAAAGCAACGGAACGCTGTGGATGCCGGCTCAAATGTAGCCCATGTCGTAATTTTTTTCAATTTAATATCGGTTTTTACTTTATATAATGTCATGTACAAGCAGGTGAAAATATTAAAGCTTTTAAAAGTATATATCACTTGATGGAAGGTGAAATATCCCTGCTCATGTTTGAAATAAATAGACTAATTTCGGCCTTGGATATTTGGAATAATCTGTAAATAGAGATAACATATTAAATAAAACAGTAATTGTTTGTAGCATTTCGTAGAACTTATTTGGCAGTGATATTTAAATGTCGATTTCTTTAAAACATGTTAAGTATAATGTAGCAATAAAATGCATAAAATGTATATAAACAATAGCTAAACAATAAAAATGTCAATCTTTCTGAAAATATATAAAGCATAAACATTTAATTTTAATCTCATTTTAAGATAAATATTTTCTACCAAGACTTTTTCCATAATTAACTTTCAATGTAAAATTGTATTTATTCAATAAATCCATTTTTAGGGAATTATATTTTTTGTTTACACCTGACTCTTAGATGTATATGAAGCATAATAATTCAGTAGATAAATATACGTTAATATAAATTTATCATATTAATATGCCGACAATAGACGATCGATGTGCGTCTAGCCAAATGTCGGCATACCGAAGTGTGAATATTTTCCATAATCACTATTTATTGGCCTGTGATTTGCGCACAACTGTCTCGTTTATTACATTCTTGTACGTAAGATGAAAATCGACGCGTCATTATGCGCGCTACGATATATCTTTATCGCGTAGACAAACTTTTCTCGTGTACTTTGCTTAGCTTAAATAAAGAAGAATGTAATTATATGTGTGCCGATAACTTAAGGTTTATGCCCACATGACTACTACCGAGACCACGTAATTCACACAGTCTTAAAAAAATCATCTGTATATGGGCGTGCATGCTGTGTCAGTAGGAGTCCTGGGTGTATTGATAAAATGTTCTGATAGTCTACTAGTGACAGCATGAACGATGTTTACAGTTTCAGCACACTTTATCACAGCTTGGTTAGGTTATTATTGACCAGTTGGGCTTTTACCGCTGACAAACTTTATCAATAATTCATTATAATTAGAAGATTTTTTTTTCAAAGTGATATATTTACATTGATTTGGTAGATCGATATCACGGATAACTTTTGTCTGGTGTTGCCCATGTGAAAATTGTCTTTCTTGTCTGCAGTTTAGTGCACATTGGAATAAAACGCTTTAACAGTTTAAAACGCGAAATATAATAATTAAACTTGTTTATAAATTATTCTTTCTGACAAATTTATTTTTCTTCTCGAATATTGCTTCTAGATTTTTTCGATCAATAAGCAATACAGAGTATTAGTGTGTATACTTATAAAACTTCCAAATACAATCAAGAAATCTAATTTTCGCAAATAATAAAAGTTTCTTTGAATTTCAGACAAAAGTCATATACCTACTTATCCGTATGTCCCAGTACATTGCCTGTTGCCGCTTGGCAAGATGCCAGTCTCAACGACAAACATCGGCTACGGGCTGCCCTCTATAACTCGTCAAGGTGTTAAGACTTGCTTCATGAAAACATACATTTCTTAATCATTATTACACATACTTTGCATAACGAAATAATTAAGATTTACATTAGCAAACAATAATAGAGCCTTTAAGTCAATTCAAAAATGTCAGAGTAAGACGTTAAGAAATTCACAGAAGTATTCAGCCACGATTTTACTGAATTATACGAATCACAATATATATCTATGCTTAACAGTTCTCCATAACCACAAGAAAACAGTCTATTTGTTGAAAAAACATTATCTGCGCGTGCGCGTCTGACGCATATCAAAGACGCGCGACGGTCACTTTTTCAGTTCGCGCCGTGTTGGCACGAAGCCAGTGCGCCGCTTGGCAGATGGCCAAAAACAATCACCCTCAAACCATACTTATGTTAACTGAGCCATATATAATCTAGAACAGTATAGATATATGGTCGTGGTATATAAAACATAGATATTAAAATAGAGAGATAGTGAAATCCCCTTTCCCCCCGTGGAGCATGGGGCGAATACATTTCTATGTCCGTTTCACTGATCAGTTTTATTTACAGGCAAGTAGTTTATAAATCGAAAATAAATTGAAAAAATTTTGCTACCGAGCTACCGAGTCATTGAGTCAATGACTCGGTAGCTCAATTGGTAGAGCAACAGCACGGAACGCTGACGATGCTGGTTCAAGTCCTGCCCGGTTGTATTTTTTCAATTTATTTTCGATTTTCAAATTATATAGTGCCTTCATGGGCAATAACATGTAAAAATATATAGGTTTTCAAAGACAAGTAGTTGATCCAGACTTCTGTGCCCTGCCTGACCGAACAACAAATACCTTTACAAAAATATGTTATTTCCACAAAGGAAAGCTTTGCCCCAATTAATTAGCTCCTTAATAAATGAGTTAATTATATGATAGTCGAGTGAATAAATGGCCCGTTGCGATGATTATATTGTAATAGTGATCCCAAAATAATCTGATTACGACCATAAATTAGGCTGAAGACTTAATTTGATTTTGTGTAATTAAATTAATCCCAAAACTACAATTTTGTAACTAAGCTATCGAATGTAACCAGCCATGACTAATTTAGTTTATAGCACTAATACTTTAGTTAAAAAATATACAGTTTTAGTAAATAAATAGGAGATAATTTAACAAAATACTTAACAATTGAAAGTTTTAATGTTTTTCACAATGATTCTATAGAAATTAAAAATCCAAAATAAATTACGACTCGGGCAGGACTTGCAACGGCAAATCAGCATCGTCAGCGTTCCCTGCTGTTGCTCTAACCAATTGAGCTACCGAGTTGGTAAACGTATTTTATTTCAATTTATTTCCGATATTAAACAGTTCTTTTTTATGCTAAAGGTACTCGAGAAAGTTTTCCGCGACATTGCTGTAACAACTAAGCTACCATGTTTTTCGTCGGCCTCTCATCCTTATCTAGTTACTTTCAGCCGTTCGGTGTCCACCGCTGGACATAGGCCATAGACTTCCAGTACGACCAGTCGTTCGCTAGCATCTAGTATCGATGAAGAATTACATATATTCCAGTTTTAAGTTGTTTAAATACAAATTCGCTCTTTTATCAGCGATATATACGAATGTCTCTTCCGGGTAAGAGCTCCCTACAAAAGTCTGCCAATATATATGTAATCCATATGCAAGTACAAGCGTTTGGCATATCACTATACGACGAGACGACAGCTGTGAAAACGTGATATCTTTACGATTTGCATAGTGTAGTGATAAAGAAATATAACATATTTCGCGTTTTGAACTGTTACAAGTGGCTTATTAAATAATGTAGTATTCATGTAAGTCTAAAAAATGTAAAATTGGATAATCCCTAATAACTAAGTTTTTCTAATCGCACGTTTGTTTCTCATTTAAGTCCTTATCCCTAGATTTTCGTCTTATTTCAATTTACGTCAGACCGTATAATTCAAGTGGTTGAAGCGGTCATTTGCCCGACCAGACAACATGGATAAAATATATGAAGCATTGAAAGATGATAAAGAAATTGTATTATTTTTCTTAAGTATAGGAGATAAACTTTTCAGTGGGTATGTCTGTTATAAGGGTCACTCGCTGAGTTGCACTATTCCTGTTCAATTTTTACATGCAAAATTAAATTTATGTCATAAAAATTGAACTAAAAATCGATGAAAAAAGCGGGACTCGAACCGGCATCCATAGCGGTCCGTGCTGTTCTAAGTGAAATAGCGTATCAAACAAGTCATCATAGATTTTTTAATAATTTTGATTGATATTGTATCATATCATCTTTCAGTTTCATAAAATAAAAGAGGAAATAAATTCGTTTGCCACTAAGTCCAAGTGACATTAATATACTTAAATTTCACGGAGTAAAACAAGATTTGACTTATCCTTATAGAAATTATAAATTTTTATCTCAAAAATAGGTACTTTATTTACAAAGCGGGTTTATGTTTGGGGCTTTAAATGAAAGTGTATTCGACTATTCGCTTAATTAAATAAAACGCGGCATCTATATCTAATGTTTAGAATCTTTCTGTTTTTTATACTATATAAGAGAACCCATAATGGATGGTGAGACATATATGTAACATCTTCACTAGATTCGGGCTTTGGGTATTCGAAAATCCACAGACTGAAATCGAAACACGATTAAACTTCATCTATGGACAGTAGTTCGTGACTCGGAGTACATTTTTATATTCATACCACCCATTTAATCTAGATTTCCATACGATGTCCAACATGTTACAGAAAGATGCTTAGACACATTTAAAAACTTTAATATTTTTCACTTATTTCAATTCGCACATAATGTCAATTGAGCTACGTATATGTAGTAGCTGGATAGACCTACAACACGGAATTCTGTGGATGCCGTTTCAATTCCTGCCCGAGTCGTAATTTTTTTCAATTGATTTTCTATTTTAATTTTATTAGAAATATTTATCTTGTTAATATATAATCTTGGTTTTTAGTATTCATTCTTACTATTAGAAATTGGCTTTTAGTTACGTACATGGATTGGATTTTTTAACCAATTTCAAACATTTTTTTTTTTCAATGTATCAATCTTTTGAAGTGAGTCACGCGCGTCACTCCGGCCGCAGCTGCCAAAGGATCTCATCTTACTTTGCGCACGGCGCACGTGTCGTACGATTCATTGTCGAAAACAACGTAAATCCCATTTTATTTCATGCCAAAATGTTTATTGTTCACTACTCACGAAACGTCATTTTCCCATGTACTTAAGCGCCGCATTCTGGAAGCGATTCGTGTTTACTGTTTTGCTTGGACGCAATTATTGGCTAGGATGTTTTTGTTAAGTCGAATAACGGATTATATAAGGGGCTTTTCGTATGTTTATTTACTGACATTGTCGGCATATACCAAAGTACTAAGCAGTTTTGCTTTTAATTTTTTTTTCATAATATAACTTAAAGACTATAGTAATGTCTGTAGTTTACGCGAGTAATACACATAAAAAACTGACTTTTAAGGGGTTACAAGTTAACAGCACCCGTGGTCACGGAGGGACAGAAGGCGTAGTCCTCAATGTCAAAGCAAATAATAGTCACTAGTGTATTTCAACTAGTAAGAATATCAGCATGAAGCGCTCTAGTCGTGGATTCAAGTTCCGCTCGATCCTCTTATTTTTTTTATAGCTCTCAGATCTACCTTGAAAAATAGTGGAACAATAACTAAGTAATAATAAATTTGTTTCATTAATATCGTATCACCTACAAAATCTTGTTCTTCTTCTTCATCTTAGAGCTATTACCAAGAGAACATCTATCAAAAAGCTTGTAAAGACGAATAGTTCCATAATAAGGTTAACAAAACACAACAGAATATTACTTCTGCTTAAAAAATAAACTATATGAAATGGCAATCATTCAGTCGTCGAGAAAAACGATAATGAAGAGGGAGAATGTTGGAAATCTCCAGTGTCGTGGCGGGAGTCGGTAGCTAAATATAGCTGCGTGCGCGACGCGTGTTACAGCGCATGCGCGGTGACCAGATGTGGCGGGAGCCTGGGACAATGGGCAGGTGATTGCTTTGTGGAGAACAAAAAGAGAGAGAAGAAGAGTTTTATTATATGCAGATGACCATAAACCACACGAAAACAATTCGAAATAAAAATAATTAAATGGTTTCCGGGTATTGGCTTTTTGTTTCAGCTTGTAAGTGATCTAAATTAAACACTTGTAACCGTTCAAAACTCGAAATATATTTATTTTAACTGTAACCCACGATTCGGATATTACGCAGCCGTGGTCACGTGACCCCATTTGAATGTATAATACTCGCGTAAACTACAGGCGTACATTACATATTTGATTTCATTTATTACTGCAATTATAACTCATTCACACTTCAACCGTTTAAAACGCGATATATATCAGTTAAACTTATTTAGTCCGTGACCTGCCTGCTGTAAAGCATCCGAAACGTCGGGCACTAGTTAAAATAATTCGGATAAGTTTAACTAAATAGATATCGCGTTTAAAACGTTAGTGTTTTATTTATAGATATAATTAGTTATTTGTTGAATAAAATAAATTGAAAAAAATACTACTCTGGCAGGACTCTAGTTATTTGTTGTATATTTTTTACTGTCTTGGCCATTTAGGTGTGTTTCAAAATTACTGTCATTTATACATGCCTATGTCTTGTTCAATATGCTAAAAGACATAACATCAACGAAGACTATAGGGATAAAGTGCCAGCCGGATGTAATAAAATAATATTTGCAATAAGTAACATTAAAAATAATTTTAATGATAACATGTCTGCCTGATTCAGAGCAAAAATGTCGGGGCAAATGTGTTGGAGACATATGGTACCCACGGGATATAGTGACTCAAAGGATGATTTAACTTTGACATGACTTGTTCGTTTTTTAGCTCTACCTTAATTTTTTTTTTCATGATATAGGTAAACAGACAAGCATAGGCAAATTCTAAACAAGATGCGTTGTTGGCCTATTTCTACTTTGAACTTTCGGAAATCTAGAGACTGAACAAAACATGATTGATTTTCATGGCTGTTGACGACGATGTCCACAGATTAAAAAAGGTGTCAAGTTTAATCGCGTTTCGATTTCAGTCGCTGGATTACCGAATAACCAAATAGCTTTGGTTATATACATATCTATATCTTGTTTAAATGTCATAAGAATGTTTCACCTATCTTGAAGTGAAAGCTTGTCTGTCATCCTCTATCTCAATAAAAAATAATAATCAACTATGGCGTAAACGAGATTTCACTTAGAAAATGTCGTTAACGGAACGGAAAATGTGTCCAAAACATTATGAAAGAACTTTTCCATAGTTCCAAAACGATCTCGATGCAACCTTATACGGCTTTTCACCATTGTAATTCAGTTGAACATAAAATTATTTAAACTCTTTTTCCCCTTTGATAGAATCTTATTTTGTGTGATCGAATAAGACATTCAAATACACGGTGTTTTGATTTAACCTCACCATAAGACATTAAACCTTATTGCAGTAAAATTAGGTTGTGTTTTTTGCGTGCATGTTTATAAGTCAGCGGTCGGTATGGTAGCATAAATCAACGCACACAGGCGCACACGGCGGCCATGTTCCGTGCGCTTGGGCAGCGGATGGCACGTGCGATCTATTTTCAGCGCGCTACGCTCCCGCCCTAAAGCTAACAATGATTATTCAGATACGAAACCTGTGTAACAGTTTGGAGCTATTGATATCGTTTTTAATAAATTGTTTATTTAACCAACCAATTATGAACGGACGTTTTCTTTGTTACAGATTGAAAAATATTGTCATAGTATAAATAATATATACTATATCTATACTGTCTCTCAGTAACTTGAAATCAATCAATAAGTGTAACACTTTATATAACCTACAAAATCATGATTAAATTAAAAAGTATTTAAACGTAAGTAAGGTGTTTTAATCATCTCATTTTAGATAGTTTTCTTCGTGATACTAAATGAAAATTTACATTTTTTTTCTTATTTTTTACAAATACTGTACTTAGTATTAATAATACTACTAAATACAGTGATGTTGTTTAGTATCATTGTTTATTAATAATGTTGACCAAGTAAATAATTGAACATATATTCAAATAAGTTCAACATCGCGTTTTATACAGTTAAAGTGTTTTATTAAAATATGTATTACTCGGGTAAACTACTGACAGTATTTAACTAGTTATATTACTTAAAGAAATTTATATATCGTTTGGATAATGACTGAGTTAAGATTTATTAAATACGGTACCTATCTATTTAGTAAGCATAGAGCTATACCTATCAGTAGGATTACAGTATCTGTCAGTTTTTCTTTGTCCTATCCTGGTCGTCGCCACCGGTCTACATTCTCCATTTTGATGGTGGTCGTTAATGAGGCGTTTACTGTGACGAAAGATTAGACTGCACCTATGGGTCGTTAATTATCTCAGAATTTTCTTCACATATACAATTTTATAAACATAGCTGAGTATTTTTTATGATTTAGGAAGACATGGGGTTTGTTTTCATTGTTCATTTATTTGATGGAAGGTGAAATATTACTTTTAATTAGATATTAAAACTAGTAGTAGTTCTGAAATCACAGACTGAAACTGTAAAACGAAATCCCGCTTCACGGCGTGTCCATTTGTGGACTGTGGTACATTCACACTTATCTTTCCGACTTCGAAGAAATTATTGTGTTGTATTTAGCGAAACTGGTCCTTGAAATTTTCAGTTTCGCAAAATACCAACAACGGCGGAGCAGATGGCGTAGCAGATTTTACTTGACATTAAAGACATCCACCATCTTTAGTCTCCCCGTGACCATGGCGGCTGCAAAGCATCCGAAACGTCGGGCCGTTGTTAAAACAATTTCCAAATAAGTTTAACTCATATATTTCGCGTTTTAAACCGTTAAAGTGTTTTATTTTAATGATTTTATTAGATTAAAAATAATTTGAACCTGGTGGGAATCCAACCCACGACCATTAGGATAAGCTCCTGAAGACGAGACAAAATTACGAAGAGCAGGTGAATTATTTTATCTTGCATTTTTTGAAACAAGTTTTACTGAGATATTCGTAATCGCTAAATAAGTGATTGGCCTGTCTGTGTTGTGATTTCATCTTGACTTAAACAGTCGTAAGAATAATTTACCACAGGCTTTGAGCTTATACATTGAATGCTAAAGTTAACACAGAACGTTCAAAGTCTGTCACAGAAGGGAAGAGCCGACAAACAAGTTATTCACTCGAAGCTCCGTTCTGAATAAGTAATAAATGCTACTGCACTGGAGTGAATTTCCTTCGAATCGTGAGAATTATATTGCCTTTAGGCTGTACCTACTGTAGCATTGGAACTCATGTTTCACTGCATATAGTGTGTTGTAGAGAAAGGAATATATATCTCTAATTGTGGGGCGTATCATAATATAATAAAACGTCAAATAAATCAAAACCGAATATCCAAAGCCAAAATAGGCCAACAGCACATCCAGTTAAAATCTATACCAATATATAAAGCTGAAGAGTTTGTTTGTTTGTTTGAACGCGCTTATCTCAGGGACTGCTGGTTCGAATTGAAAAATTATTTTTGTCTTGGTTAGAGTATATATTGAGGAAGTTTATAGGCTATTAAACAACGCTGTGAGTAATAGGAGTAAAGAAACTGCGGGAAATGTGGAAAAACGGGAAAAATATTCATCCTTATGAGTTTCCTAAGCGTACGCTGCGTTAACGGTTCAAGATACCAAAAAATATCTATTAAAGAATAAAGAAAATGATAGGAAAAAATTCCCGCTACACTATATGTCTCATCTTTTAAGATTAACATGCAATAATGACGGGACACGACCGTCGGGACACGGTTGCAAAAAAAAAATTGGATGGCCAAAATAACTATTCAAGCGGATGAAGTCGCTGACACAGCTAGTATTATATGTCTCACGTTTTTCATCTACCATCAAGTGTACACTATCTATCTACCTTGTCTATCTCCGTCCTCTATCATAAAAAAAGTCTCGTGATAATTAATTAATCTCTAACTAATATTCACGTTTCAATGTTTTATACTGACTGATCTAGTATGTAAACATACAACTTTGAGCTTGTAAAAATTCTAGTAAAAGGGTAAAATTATGTACAATACAGTGCCGTGGACAAAAGAGTCGTTTCTTAAATACAATTTACGTTGTAAGTCTAGATAATGGCTTTGAACATTTTGCTTAGTATTATGAGGCGTTATTTGATAATTTTCTACTTTTCTTGATTAGTCTGCACAGTGAAAACCAGAGCAGTTTAATATGCACGAACATTATTTTATAGATCACAAACTACAGACAGTATGACATTATAAATCACATAACGAATTACAGTTGTGTTGTTGGCTTTTGTCCAAGGATTGCTTCGCCGTAGCATATGTCATTTAAACACTTCAATAAAATAATATCGTCCAGAGCACAACGGCGTATTAAACAAATCTATTTTAAGAGGACTATGTAATATAATTTATGAAAAATTTCAAACGATTTTTTTCTAGACAAACAACAGCTAACATACCCACACTGTTTATGAATAAAAGTAGGTATACCTGCTTCATTAAATAATACTATAATGCCTAGGAAACTATATTCTGTAGCGATAAGACCGCCATTTTGTTTTGTGTTGCGTAACTATTAAAGATTATACAACGTCGGGCACACACGTTTAGATATCAAACGTTTGCAATAAAAGAAAAAAAATCATTTTTTCATAAGTTTAAGTCCGAAAATTCCATTTTTAAAATTCTGTATAAATTACTACTTATCTTAATTATTAAATTGATTTTCTGTTACAACAATTATTTAGACACATATTTATTTTCCTTTAAAGAAAAAAATTTAATTCCTTCATTCTTACATCGAATTTTACCAAAATCATTGTCCGAGTAGACCCGAACCCTTTGTGTTGCCGCTTCAACACGCTTTAGCGGGTCAAAGAAAGTAATTCTGTTAAGCCTAATTTTTTAATCCGCTTCCAATTAACCGTACACAAGCTAAATAATTAAATAATATATTCCACAACGTTTTTAATATCTACACTACTCATGCCGTTTTTTCGAGTAAGG